AACGGTGGCACAATAACCAGGATCAAATGCAAATTAGGTGTAAATTCTTGAAGGTTTAGTGTTGTAGACGTTATTGATGTGAATGTGCGGCAAATGAGGCAAACATTTAAAAATTGGCTAAAAATACCGTTTTGTTGACATTACGTGTTATAGCAGTAATTATTTGCAATAATTACTGAATACTGACTAAACGTTTTTCAAATACAATTCATTTGAATTTTAATCACATTTTAAAATGCGTTACAAAAGTGTCGCAAAGTTTTGGCTTAAATTTGTTATTATTATTTAGTTATTAAATTATATATTTATTTAACTATAACTCAAATTTAATGGACGTTAAATGTATTGGTTTAAGGTATGTCTTAAATAACATGGCTTATTTTATTTGTACAATTTAAATATTTTTATAACATTGAATTATTTAATTATATGTTATTACTATGTTTGTTAAAAATTAATTTTAATCTCTAAGTTTTGAATAGTAAATCATTAACTTGTATAATATATTTAAATATTTTATTTATACAAGGTGATTGTGTGTGAATAATGTATTTCTAATAATAATAAATACAGAATTAGAATTAAACTGTAGTAAGGTAATTATTACATTATAATATTATTATAATATATGGCCAATAGTGTACAGCACCTATGTCATTTAATTTAATATAGATATTACTGATATCAGTGATATGATAGAACTATATATTATAATAATGTATTCCCTAAGTGTTAGATGCATGTGGAGCACCAGGGTAGATTACACCGGTATTTTATCTCAATATGATTTTTGGTACGGTTATAGCCATACATTGATGTTTATATTAGCCATGTATTGCTCAATACGGCACTGAATATGAGTGAGATTGAGCCCAACCCTCTACCCCAGGTAGGAGTGGGTGTATATGTATTCGGGCTCTCCCTCGATGTCTTCTTTCACAATATAACCGGCCGGTGAGCGCACCTACAGATCATAACATATTATTATAATAAACAGAAATTACGAAAAAAATTTCTTGAATCCCAAAAACATACCAGAGTTTCGGTATTATTGGTGGCGAACGTGATTTGAGTGGAACCGCCGCCGAGATCCAGGGTTACGATCGATGTCTTAATGTCATGGAGTTTGGACAGCAGGAAGTTGACGGTATACCAGGCGTACAGACCCTCATCCCTGTCGTCTAGAATGGACACCGAGTTTGCATTTACTGTACAAACAAACATCAAAACAATTAGCAAAGCATTACAACTAAAACCAAATTCAATGCAAACCTCTATAGGGAGTTGACTCTAACTTCTCTCTTACAGACTTCAGTATATTATCGGCCGATAGTTTGGGAATGAGTCGCAAACCGGCGGTCGCTTTGAGTATTATGGACGTGTCGAGCGCCTTATGGTCAGGAACGGTAGCCAAAGCCTTACCGAGCAGTGGCTGTAGACTATGGGCCGCGTGCGACGAGTTGCCGGCGAAGGACGACAGGCCGGGGGTTATCGACAGAAACGTCTCGTTTTCTAAGAATATTCTGCGGGTTTTGCCCGCTATTTGAGACGTAAACGAGAATATGTGGACCCGAGTGCCGGTGCTGCCCCCGTCCAACACTATGGCGTAGGAATTGTCGTTTTTGATGAGTAGGTCGACTCCGGCGTCGGACGGGTGGGGTATCATTTGGGTGCCGTAGTAGACGGTGGACGACGTGAACGGACCCACGAGTGTAATGAGCGATGAGATGACTATTGAAATAAATATAGCGATAAATGAGATGTAAAGGTGCGATGAATTCGGTGGGGATTTGGCGGTGGGTTTGATGATAGCCGCACAGGAACTCGTGCTTTGTTTTGTTGCCAACATTATTGTTATATTGCTTTTTCTCGCAACTTTTTAATCCAATTTTAATTTGTGGCGTAAAATAAGTGATAAAACTCTGTCCTAAAAGTATACAATAAACGAGAAAAAGGCAATTAAAATGAATGCAATTTTTATAATAATAAGCAAACAAATAATACTTTGAATATTTAGATATGTATTTTCGTGCTATAATTAATTTAAGGCACTATATTTATTCTCTAATCTAAACCATTATTACAAATATATTAAATATAAATTAGTTTCACAATAGATTTACTACAAACCTACGTCTATTTTAGATATGTATTTTCGTGCTATAATTAATTTAAGGCACTATATTTATTCTCTAATCTAAACCATTATTACAAATATATTAAATATAAATTAGTTTCACAATAGATTTACTACAAACCTACGTCTACTCAGTGTATATACTAAATACAAATTAATGCATAGATTGACGTAAATAGCAATCATTTTGAAACAATTAGACCTTTAGATCACACGACTATCAATAGAAAACAGGCAATCAATAGATAACATACTAATAAAACGTGGAAACAATTGAAATATAATATCTCAACCAAAAGCCGATACCGATTACATAAATAAATATCTAAGAAATGCCGCACAAAATAAGTTTATCAGAAAACAACTCGTGTTTTAAAATATTCCCAAAAAATATTAACCGAAATATTGAATGTAATCCAAGAAAAATGCATTTAATTTTAGCTATCATATCGAGTGAATCAATAAAATATTATATATTTTGCAGAATATTTTTAAAAAACAAAAATACATTGCTTTCGAGATTAGATACAAACACAGAATATTCTGCACAGAACTCACGGGGAAAAAGGCAATCATTATAATCATTACGATTCAAACAAATCAATAGAAAAATACAAAAATAAAATTCAATGAATAAAATCACTGATAAATGCCACGAAATGAACGCAAAAATCATTTTCTATGTGCGGATCCGGTGACAAAAACATGCGACTAATAAAAATTAATGGATTCCCGAAAATATAGGCAAATCATATGATAATAATATATTAACCATAGGAAGAAAGTCAAATACTTGTTATGTATATGTTGTCATCTATTAATATAAATGAGTGACAAAAACGTTATGTAAAAGAGAAATGAGAAAAGAAAATCATTTATTAATTATTTTTCTCCTGATATATAGACTAATATTGATTGCAAACTGGGATTTCAAAATCATAGCCAAAAATAATTATAACAAATATTTGCATTGAATAAAAAATATATATCAATATGACACAGTCTATTGTAAAAATTTATAATTAATATTGAAATAAAGCCAATTAATGGGTAAATAGGCTGTAAAGGTTAGACCCGGATATTTAATACAGTATAATAAAAATAATATTCAAAAAACAAAATTTTCAGTAAACAAAAGTTTGGGAAATGTCGACTAAAAAATAGCATAAATTTTGTAGTGCTATCAAAAATACTTAAACAATGACTGAATAAAAATAAGATAAAAATTATTTCCTATTCAAAACTACATTATATAATATAATCGTATAAAAGCGTGTTATAAATGGCAGTAATTATCTCGAAATTAATTAAATCGACTAAAAGTCAAGTAATTATATTTTAAAAAATACATGAATAAATGTTCAGTAAATTTTGTGTATGAATACTATACTGTATAGTCTATACAAAACAGATTATCACAAAAAAATGTACCGTATATTGGACTTTATTTTTAAAAGCTTTATGTTTCAGAAAATAGTCAAGAATTCATGTAATAGTAATAAGAAATGAAATGCAATTCATAACACTATAATTAACCGCAATCTAATCAACGTAAGTTTCGAAAAACTTTGTATCATAATTAATATATGATTTAACAATTGACTTATAGCCAAAAAACTCAATCAAAAAATGCCTACCTAATAGCTAACACATTATTAAAATTAAAAAAATATAATATAATAGTAAAGTAAAAGTAGAGAAATATTTTCAACTTAAAATTCAAGTCATGTTAAAGATATAGAAAACATAAGACATTTGAAAATTAACAAAAAAATCTTTACCAAAACTTTGATCACACGTTTGATTTGTTTGACAAAATCAAAAACTCATATGAATTTAGAGCACATATTGAACTGACATTCAGAAAGTCGTTCAACTGTTAAAGAAAACAAACAGAAAAATAACTTTTTATGAAAAAACTATCAAAAAATCAAAAACCATATGAAATAAAAATAAAATTCAATCTTCAGTTGTGTTCAGATTTTTATATCTCGGAGCACGTGAAGAGCTGCCAGTGCCGAGGGGACAGTCGCATACAAAAATACATACATACCCTATAACACACCTCCCTTTCAATGGCCAGTTGCCATACAAACTATCAAAACTGCATCAAATCAAATCATAAAACAAATACTAACTGTTAAATAGTGTATTACAATAATAAGTAAGTTTATAAGTGTGTGATATCGTTTATATGATATATCGCATAAAAGTCGTGTTAAATAGCAATTATAATCATAACTAGATTTAACTGGTTTTTCACATCAATCGCTAGCCTTTCCCTGTGCTTACGGATTAAGGACCAGATATTGACCATCACTTGTATGGCAGCCCTAATGACTTAAACCAATTCAAACCAATTATCAAAACCAAATCAAAACAAACATTGCGATGCTATCATAAGTGATAAAATATGACTAAGAGTAAATGTCCAAGATTCATATAAAACTTTTCAATCATATCAAGTGATCAACAATTTATTTAACGATTAAAAAACTGTATTTTTAAGTCTTGACTACAAAAGTGAGACTTTTGATCGCTATTTTGATACAAACCTTTGTTTTTGAGTGCGTAAAATAATAGTTAATTTATAATTAGTATGTGAGTTAATTTTGGTTTATTATGGCTCTTCAGTTAACTGAAAACTCGGAAAGTTTGAGATCAGAGTAAATCAATTGATAATTATATATATAATTTGCTAAAAGCATCGGATACTCAAAGTTTATCGAAAATGTTGTGTCACTTTAATAGTTAACACAATTGCATAGATTTGTTGCTATTAATAGGTATCGACTAAACAACGGCTAAATTAGACTATGAAAAGCACTTTCAATACTAATTATATTTTATGAGTACAACGCGTTTACTAAACTTGTCATTAAATGTCATTCAGTGGGCGGTCGGTAGACATACCTTTCCAAAGGGGGTGTCATGTATGCCGGGACATTGAAATAGCAATTACCACGCTCATTAACGTTATGACTTTAATTAAAATTAACTTTTAAAAATAATATCGGATTTCGTGTGAAAGTGAAACGTAAGACAAAAGTGAGAGTAATGTCAGAGTCTATGGCAGGAATGGGTTCAATGGGTTGACCCATATTTGCCATATTCTGCGGAATTCCAGTGCAGGGCTATTATGACAGGAATAGTAGCACCGGGAGGGTTGGGCTCAATCTCACTCATATTCAGTGCCGTATTGAGCAATACATGGCTAATATAAACATCAATGTATGGCTATAACCGTACCAAAAATCATATTGAGATAAAATACCGGTGTAATCTACCNGAAATACATTATTCACACAAAATCACCTTGTATAAATAAATGATTTAAATATATTATACAAATTAATGATTTACTATTGAAAACTTAGAGATTAAAATTAATTTTCAACAAACATAGTAATATAATTAAATAATTTAAATATTTAAATTGTACAAAAAATAAGCCATGTTATTGTCAAACATACCTTAAACCAATACATTTAACGTCCATTAAATTTGAGTTATAGTTAAATATATATATAATTTAATAATTAAATAATAATAACAAATTTAAGCCAAAACTTTGCGACACTTTTGTAACGCATTTTAAAATGTGATTAAAATTCAAATGAATTGTATTTTAAAAACGTTTAGTCAGTATTCAGTAATTATTTGCAATAATAACACGTAATGTCAACAAAACTGTATTTTTAGCCAATTTTTAAATGTTTGCCTCATTTGCCGCACATTCACATCAATAACGTCTACAACACTAAACCTTCAAGAATTTACACCTAATTTGCATTTGATCCTGGTTATTGTGCCACCGTTTACTTATTTAGTAGTTTAATTTATTTACTTATTATGTATCTATAATATAGTTTAATATAACTGTATTAATTTTATAATAAATTTATATACAGTAGTTATTATGGTTATTATATCTAGCATATTAACTTTGACTAAAATTGTAGTTGTATTAAAAGTACCATGTTAAATCATTCTCTACAATAATCTACTGTATAATTTTCAACCAATTCTAACGTAAATTTACATTTCATTAGATACATGAACCTAAGCATATGCCTAAAGACTGAGCCATAAACGCATATAATCTCCAAAAATAGCCCACAAACTGGTGTTGACCTCAAGAATTCCTATGAAAAACTGATTTTCCCCTCACTTTCCCCCAACTACTAGCCCTGGCTTAAGAGGCACACACTTACAACTAGCCATTCCTATACCACCACCAAAACTATTTGCATAAAACCTTTGATTTACAAGTGTTTGTCTTTTGGTGTTTGCATTGGAAGTGATAAGTGATGTCTTGGCTGTTGAATCACCCGATCGGCGACCGCTGGCACGAGACGGTCAGACATTACGCCGAACTCCACGA